TCTGATTTTATTCACTCTTATTTCCTACCAATGAGCCGTTTTACCTTTTTGTGTATTTTATAGAATTATGCTTTTTAATGATTTTTATGAACTTTTAAAAATACGTGTCCTTGAGATAGACAATTTTATTACTTTCATTTATTTTATGACAATGAAACTATTGTGTGCAATTTACCATTAGATCTAACTCAACAAATTGTTTGGCGCAGCATATCCTCCTTTGGATCTTGTGCCATAAAACTTCTACATTCAATCCCAAGACTCTTTTCGCTCAAAACAGCAAGTTGAGCATCACATAAGAACGTCGCCATTGGAAGCTATGAAAATAGACATGGTGAAGCAATTCCCTCAAGAATACATGCATCTCGTTTGTTTAGGCGTGATGAGGAAACTGCTTTTCATATGGAGTGGAAAGAAACGAGGGCGAATAGGGAGATTATCCCCATCCCAAATAAATGAGCTGAATTTCGGTTTAAAGCACTCAGAGAAGTTTTGGCCATCTGATTTTGTAAGAAAGCCAAGGTCCACAAAAGAGCTGGACCACTGGAAAGCGACCGAATTTAGGCAATTTCTATTATATTTAGGTCCTTTGCTCTTACGAGATGTACTAACTAATAAAATGTACGACCATTTTATGATGTTTTCATGTGCAATAACCTTTTTGGTATCGCACGAATACTGTATGAAATATAATAAAGTTGCTCAAAAGATGCTGAAAAGTTTTGTAAGGGAATCAGAGGAATTATATGGGGAGAATTTTATTTCCTATAATGTTCATTCTCTGATTCACTTACCAGATGACGTTTTAAATTTCGGGGCCTTAGATCAATTTAGCAGCTTTCCTTTCGAAAACCATCTTCAAATATTAAAAAAAAAAACTTACAAAATCCAATCAACCCTTGCAACAGATTGTAAAAAGGCTTTTGGAGAAGCCTGAAAGCAAAAATGCAATGACTCACCCAGAAGAGTGGCTTCCAGTTTCAGTAAGAGAGCACAAGGAAGAAAAAGTTAAAAAGGAAGGATTGAAAGGCGTTTCTTATTGTAAAGTAAAAAATGCAAAATTTTCTATCGAATCAGGCAATAAAGATTCCTTCCTTATCTTGAGAAATGAAAGTATCATAAAAATGACATCGGTTTTAGAAGCATTTAACAAAGAAATCTATGTTATTGGAAAAAAATATAAGGACGTACGACCTTTTAAGAAGTGCTCTTATGCAGGTGGGCCAAAAAATTTCCCCTCTTTTAAAATAGGCAATGTGTCAGAGGAGGATATAATAATTTCCACAAAACAAATAAAATGCAAAGCAGTATGTCTGCCGTGGAAAGGTAAACTCGTTTGTTTTCCTCTACCACATACAGTTTTATAACTAGTTTATAACTTATGATATATACTAGTATACACTGTGTGTGTAGTATATATTAGTATAAATTTTAATTTAGCTTCATAATTTTTTTTTCATTCCGATTTATAATTTTTATAAAAATTTTTTTAATTCATTCATTTAATATCAAAGCGAAAATTTATTTATGAAGAGACATGTATGTTTAAAATCTTTATGTTTGGAAATGTAAAATAATTTTCTTTGAATTTTATTAGCTAAGAAAATTAAAAGTAAAGAGATGAAAAATGCAATTAATTAGTGAATTTCAAAAATAGATGCTGTTTTTTCTTCTTTTAATTTGAAGAGTTTTCTGCTAAAATTACTTCAAGCCGACATCAGAAATAAAAGAATATAAGATGAAAGGTAGCTTACATGAACAAGTAAATTATATAACAGAAAATTTAGATGCTACGTTCAAAACCGGTGATTGAATTCAAGAACTAAAGAAATTCTAAGGAAATTCAAGGACCTTTACCATTTGCCTAAAATTGACAAATATGAAAGTAACAGAATATCAGAAAATTACTTTTAATAGGAAGTGATAAAATGAGGAAGAAGAACTGGGTGATTTTCATTACCGAAATTGAAGAAGCCCAGTCTTAAAAATATCAGAAGTTTTGGCCATTTGATTTTGCTATAAAACTGAGAACTGTAACAGTGCTTGATCACCAGAATGGAATGGAATTTGGACGATTGCTATGATTTCTAGGTAATGTTTTCATACGAAACAATCTTATAAATAACATGTATGATCATTTTATGCTTTTTTTATGCTTTTTTAAAAATGAAATAGACTTTTTGGTGTCAGAACATTGTATAAAGTACAATAATACTTTTCAAAAGAGGCCTAAAAGTTTAGTAAGTGAAGGGTAGTTATATGAGAGAATTTAATTTCTTAAAATGTTCATTTCTTACTTCATTTAGCATTTAAAATTTTAAAGTTTGAATCACTTTTTAGTTTTAGCAGCTTTCCATTTCCAAATCACCAGAAGGGAAATTGAGAAAATCAAATCATAAATACGTAAATCAGATAGTAAAAAAGCTCTGGCTAGTTGATTGAAATGGCTTCCTTTTTCTGTTAAATGAGATCATAAAAAAATTTTTTTTAAGGAACATATTGCATACTAAAGTAATGGAAATTTTTAACAGATAAAAAAAAAAGAAAACTATGTAATAAAAACTAGAACCTAAGGAACATATTGCATACTAAAAATGGAAATTTTTAAAAGATAAAGAAGAAAATTAAAATTATATAATGTACTAAAGAATGAAAACTATATATTGTGATTTTATCCTTAACAGAAAGTTCAAGTTCTACGTCATACAGTTCAAAAGGTCGAATAATATGCTGGATGTCGTTCCCTCTGCATGGGTCAACCTGAAAGCGAAGCCAAATGTTTGTCGTTGGCCCCCCTATTCAACAAATTCTAGGATTGTGAGAGCAGCAAAAGCCAGTGTACAACCGGAAACTAATTGGAAAAGATATGTTGTAAAAGTGATCCACAAGTCTAGTGAGTACATTTAAATTATTTGATATTGTAGACTTTCATTTTACCTTCGTCTTTATAAGTATTTAAATATTTAAAATTTCGTTCCAAATGCTATCTTGTATAATCTCTTAAAAAGCACACAACTTGCCTAGCATTAATTCATATATTCTAAAATATAACACCATTTAAGTACATAATTTTTACATTAAGAGAGCATTATTTTCTCTCAAATTCGTGATTAAGGAATTTTTATAGATTTAATGCCAATAAATTTGATTATGAATTATGAAATTTTTCCCCATTTGCACGTTATAAATGTAAAGCTATAGTTTTTTAATGAAACTAATTAAAAATTTGCTTTTATTTTTATGAACTTAATTTGTTAGTTTAATAGTGTTTACTTTTCATGCAGGATATTATCAAAATGCTGTAAAAGCATTAAAAAGATTCCAAGCGCAGGAAGACAGTGATATCGAAATGTTTTCTCCTGAAAGTACAGTGGAAAGCACACCTAGAAGACAGTTTCTCGAAAAAGTTAGGTCACTGGTTCAATCCCCTCGCGCCTATAAATGTCCTGAGGGTTATTCTGGTCTGGACTACGACCTCGAAGGTGCTGACCACTCTAATGATGGATTCCCAACACAGGCCCCACAAAAAAAATATCTAAGTCATGAGGAGAGGATTCTAGAAGAACATCAATTCAAAGAGCCATTCGACGCAGAGCCCCTAGATGATGAGCTCCTTGAAGCAGTGCCCCTTGAAGAAGAGGGTGATCAACTAAAAACATTTACGATTGGAGATAAGAGTTGCAACAACTGTATAAAATTACAAGGTTTGAGTTTGTAATTTTTTAAATTATGTTCTTATTCTATATAAATATGAAAATGCAAAATAAAAAATTTGAATTTGCTTTTATTCCAGGCCAACTTAAAGTTCTATTTGACATTTTAAAGTCGATCAAATCTCAAGTGGACTATAACAGGGAACTGCTTGAAAAAAGAGAAGTTTCGAAAGAAGCACCACGCTTCTCCTTCAATCTGTTAGAAAGCTACGAAGAGTGCAGCTTGTTGAATGAGGAGTTAGAAAACGACTCAAGATTTTTAACTTTCGTAAGTTTGGAAGTCTATTTAGAAATTTCTTTCCATTTAATCACTAACTACCTTTTTAAAAATATATCAATAAAATAAAAATTCAAAGCCTTTATTTAATTTTAGAATATAAATATCTACAATAGCTTGTTTTGAAATAAAAATGTTCAGCTGTAATAATTAGCTTTGGCTCTATTTTCAATAAATTATTTTGCAACTTAGCTTCTGCCTCATAAAGGGAAATAGTTCATTGTTGTTTGTTTACTATTGTCGAATTCTGTTTTAGATACATATTTTTTTTTATTAATTAATTTATTTAATTTTGCTTATTTCAATTAGAAATTAATCAACTAGAATTAGAAATCAACTAAAATTACTAATTGGAAACTTTTTCAGTCTTAGAAATTTTTTTTAACTAAAATGAAGCATCACTTTTCATTTTGAAATGTCAAATTTACGTAAATTTGTAATAAGTTTTTAAGTAAAATAATATATGCATTGTCAATACAGGAAGAATTTTGTAAACGAAATCTGTTATTTTTTAGTGTGTAAAGTTTAAGAACTTATTTATAATTTTAAAATATTAGAATGAGTCAGGATTGTATTATCTTAATTAAAAAATAACAAATTTAAAAATTATTTTAGCTACTATTGGGGGTGGGGGATGAAAGTGAATAGATTTATTGCTTATTTTTATAAGTCAATGAAATCACAATTGTTTGCATCTATATTTACTCCAAATAATGAGGTCTGTTATTCTAAAACTGTTTCACATTTTTCTTTGTTCAGTGAAATTAATTTTATATTAAATGCACAGGCACTAATCTATTTTTTTAAAATTAAGTTTCATTTACTAAGTTGTATTTATTACTTATTTTATTAAGTTTTGTTTACTATTATAATTGGTAAGATCAGCAATGTTAATTTCAGCTGAAACATTTCGGAACAATAGGAGGGAGAGACGCAGCAGATAACTGCCGGAGGATTTTGACTAACCTTTTTTCGAATGATTTGGCAAGAACCCTCAATTGGGTCGGGACATCAATGAAAAGATCGATCCAAGAATATCCACGGATAATACAATTAATTGCAGGTATTATTTTATGTTATAAATTATAAATATGCAGTTTTTATATTATAGATATGCAGGTATTATTTTATGTTATAAATTATAAATATGTTATAAATTTCAGTTGATAAACTCAGCGACCATTTTCCTTTATCTTAACTATTATCTTAACATTTTTCTATAATTAGAATTAAAATTTTTTATATTTTTAGACTTAAGCACTTGATTTGGGGAATAAAATATCATTCTTTGGAGCTTTTTTGTTAAATAAGGTGGTTTCCATTAAATAATTTGCAAAGTAAATGTTATATCAATACGTAGAAAGTTTAGTGAAAGGAAAAAATTTTGTGATTTAGTTTTATAATTTCCAAAATATTACTCTAATGTATATTATCTTTATGCATGTTTATATAAAAATGTAACAATTTTAAGAATCATTCTTTAATTTTGATTACTTTCAATTAAGTGAAAAAAATCTCCGCAAATTGATATTTTTTAAAAAGCTTATTGTTTAAGTTATAGGTCCATTATGAAACCCAAATAATAAGATATGGCAGTGAATATAAATTTAAATTTTTCCTCAAATGTGAAGGATTTAAACTTTGGCTTATTTACTATACTTAAAAAAGAAAAAAAATTAAAGCTGGGAAAAATATAATTACTTGTAAATATGTGTGCGTTATTTTTAACTTTTAAACATCTTGCTGTTAATGACAGCGCCATCTCGTGGAGAGGTACTGAAAAAAAAAATTCAATTTATTTTCCCCTTCGTGTTCCAAAATTCATTTTTTTTTCTTCCTAATAAAAAATAATTTCAAATTAAAAAAAAATAATTAAGATGATAAATGTTTACGAAAGTATAAAAATTTTCCAAATGACTAGATTATATTTCAAATCAATTTTTGATATTGAAGATTACCATTTTGGGTTTATTCGCGATCGCAACGCTCGAGTAC